AAATTAACCATATTCTGAAATCAAAAGAATATTGCATGAGTGGGACTGTTAATCGATGTGTGAATTCCCTTCTTTTTTTGCATGGGTGGAGCGGCTTCTTCTTCACGTGGTTAATGTTTTTCTTTTCGTAAATGAAGGGCTCTTTGACCAGTTTTGATTGTTTTGGGTAGCATTCTTCTTAGCATGGGTGAAGTAGCTTTTTCTTCTTTCCATATGTGGTGGGTGGTTATAGTTTTGTCTTTCTGATTTACAGAACTCTTTGATAAGTTTCGCAGTTTTGGAATTTTGTTAACCTATTAATTACGGTTATGAGAGGTTTTTTTTTTTAGTGTATTTATTTAATTTGTTGCCTTTTTAGAGTACTGGAAATAGTTTCCTCGATCAAAATCTTTTATTACTCACCTAGCCTATACTTGATCACAGTTTATTCATCCAACTTCAAAGTGCTTCCAGTGGTTCCTCATCTTTGAGACATTTCACTCCATTCACCATTCACAAGATTCTGTTTCCTTTGTTACGATGTGTCGGACGAATAACCCACATGACACGTTACGACAGTTAAAAAATGACAATTCAACCAAATCATGTGAGTATAATATTTCATTGCTCATCTTAACTTATATTATGGTCATGATTTATGCATCAAACTTCAAAACACTTACCGTCACTCATCTATTGAGATGTTGCACTCTATCAATCATCTGAAAAATTTAGGATTATGCCAATCACGCATTTTTCTTGGTGGGAAACATTTTTCAATTGTACGAGTCTGTTTATAATGAGCTTGAACGGTGGCACATTGATTCAAGCATAATAAAAAGAGTGTAAAGATAAATATGTATACAAGTTGCATTTATAGAAAAATAAAAATAAACAAGACAATAAACGTGACTAGAGGTTGCCTCTCATCGTGCCCCTTCAGGCCCGGTGCCGTCTCTAAATCTGAAGAAGGAAGAACGAAATTTAGGATAAGAAAGATACATAATGGGTTCATAGTTTAAAAAATAAATGGATCAATCAAATTGTAACTAATGTCTCAAATAATAAGCTTTCACATAATGATGACTATTGTAGTCACTGACTATAAATAATATTATTCTTAACATATTCCTATGCTATTTCCACTTAGGGCAAATTAGCCAAGTACAGCCTTGATCATAAAAAAAAAAATTTTGATTAATATTCAATTTTTATATTTAATTTTTCCAAACGTATTTAACATTGGCAGTGGACGTGCTTAATTGCTTTCATAATAATATGCTTAATTTCTTTATTAACTATTATTACATTGATTAATGTGGATTTATCAATTATATTAATAAAAAAAAATTAAATTCATCCACCATTCAGCCGCCCATAGTTTTTTTTTTTTTCCACGTTTTGATAAAATATTTATGTCCCAGTGTAAGGTCTCAAAATATCATGATGTTTTATATTTAATTATACAATCGAGATATTCTAAATTGACGTAAATAAAATTGACATTTTAAAATATAATTGACTTTGGATTGTTAAATTTAATTCTAGCAGTCATATTTAACTTGTTATTTTTTTTTATCGTTTAAGGTATTTCAATGGAAAATATGCATTACGAATTTTAAAATAAATCTTCGAATAAATTCTTATTAGTCGGCTCGGTCCACCAGCTTTTTGAATTTTATTTTATTTTTTTACTTTTTCACGTTTTTTTTTAATTTTTCTTTAATTTTTCAAGAGCCGAGCTTGTGGGCTCTGCCCACGACCGCTTGCGAGCTTGAGTGGCTCTTTCAGCTAACTTGCGGCTCGGCCGAGCTGACGAGCTGCTTGGCCCATTTGCCATCTCTAGGGTTATTCCTGCCCCATTCGGGGCAGGACCTCGTGGGCATCGGGTTTTTCGAATTTTTTTTGTCATCCCTATTTGAATTTGTCACTTCTGACGTAAAGCGTGTTGTGTTCCTAAAATGAAGTTATGTTCCATGTTTAATTAATTGAAGTAAACATAATTACAAAGATTCAACATGTAAAAGAAAATCAACTATCTTTGGATCTATTCTAAGATTTCGATTGGCGTTTCTCACTTTTTTT